AATTAGCATATGTAAACAAAGCTTGCAGGTCTTCTTCTATGGTGTGTAAATTGGAATACAGGGCATTATCGCCACCTACTGTTAAGGAGTGTGAACAGACGACACTCAACATTTTTTTTGCCCAAAGTCCCGCGACCCAATGAAAACGGGTTCGCAACCTACTTACATTGTGGGGACATTTGGTAAAAGTGATGAAAACCTGTTATTTTGACTTCAACAAAGTGTCAAACATATTATCAAGTAAATGAATCTCTTTACTTGATCAATCAATCTCAATCTCTTGGCAGTGGTGGCTTAATGGTTAGGGACGCGCACTCGTAATCAGAAGATTGCAGGTTCAAATCCCCAACCAGGAAGACACCACTGAGGTATCCTGAGCAAGGTACCGCCCCCAAGCACTGCTCCCCGGGCGCTGAATTAGCTGCCCCCTGCTATGTCACGAAAGTGACATATGGGTTAAATGCAGAGGACACATTTCGTTGTTGTGCACTGTGTGCTGTGGTGTGTCAACAATGACAAATAATCACAAAAAAAAAAAAATTCTTCTGACTGAAGGCAACTGTATTTACACAGTTTTCGATCGTTGTCGAAAAGAAAGGCATTACTGTTTTGAATGAAAAAGTAGTAACACATTTCGAGTGCTTTACAGGAGGTTGTTCATTTTAACTGAAGGTTTTATTTGAAAAGGATAATCATAGCCATAATAAACCCATAATAAACGAGTAATGCGAGTTTTAAAAATTCTGCTTAAGGCAAGAAAAATGAAGTTACAGCGAGCGGTCGCTTCTGCTGTGCAGGAGAAGCGAAGCGACTTTGCCTTTAAAAATTGCGATTACGTCTGGGGGGGGGGGGCATTCTGTGAGAGGCGGACAGTTTAGAGCCATGTTTCTCAGCCTTTTCACCATTAAGGCCCACCTATATATCACTGCATGGTGTCAAGGCCCACTGGGCTTTTGATAGCATTTAATAAAGAAGAACCGATATTCATGTTTCAAAAAATGTACTTTCCTTGGCACAGAAACAAAATTCATATTCAGACACAGAAACTACAACCCCAATTCCAATGAAGTTGGGATGTTGTGTAAAACATAAATAAAAACAATACAATGATTTGCAAATCCATTTCAACCTATATGCAATTGAATACACTACAAAGACAAGATATCTAATGCTCAAACTAATAAACTTTATTGTTTTTTTGCAAATCTTCACTCATTTTGAATTTGTTGCCTGCAACATGTTCCAAAAAAGCCGGGACAGGGGCAGCAAAAGACTGGGAAAGTGAACATTCCACAGGTGAACAGGTTAATTAGAAACAGGTGTTTGTCATGATTGGGTATAAAAGGAGCATCCCCAAAAGGCTCAGTCGTTCACAAGCAAGGATGGGGTGAGGGTCACCACTTTGTGAACAACTGCGTGGGCAAATAGTCCAGCAGTTTAAGAAAAACGTTTCTCAATGTATAATTGCAAGGAATGCTGTGAGATATTGCGAGAGCTGTGCATAATCCAACATGGCAGCGCCCTACTAAAAAAAAAAAAAAAAAAAAACTTACTTCGATAGCCAAGTTAACCAAGCCAAAATAATAATAATAGTATCTATAGTACTTTAGCGGATAGATAAGTTCACTCATTACATCCTGGACGAAGAAACCTTAGAAGATTTACAGGATTACGTGGACGAGTGTTACGAGCGACTCATCGTGAAGAAGGACCAAGCCACTCCATCCACGAAGAGAACCTGCTCGGACTGTACTTCAAACAGCCCCTCAAACAGCCCTTCGTCGCCGGATAAGGAATACGGAGATATCCTAGATTCTATTAATAACAAACTTTCCAGTTTTGACACCCAACTGGCACTGGTAGAAATCCTACACAAGGAATTTCAAGCACTACAGGAATCTCTGGAGTACAGTCAAAAGCAGGTTGAATCGCTCGCATCTGAAAACAAGATTCTCAGAGACTCCGTAAAATCCCTCACAGAAGGTATGGCGAAACTCTCTACAGAAAATAAGCGCATGAAAGAGTCCCTGCTCGATATTCAAGCACGAATTATACGGGACAATTTTGAGTTCGCCGGAATTCCGGAGCGCGCAGAGGAAGACGTAGAAGCTACCATCAGAAACTTCATACAACAAGAACTTAAACTTCCTCGGGACACCGTCAACAACATCACGTTTCATCCGGTCCACCGCATAGGAGGGGTGAGGAAAGAAGCTCATCGTCCAAGACCTATCATCGCCAAGTTTGAACATTTCAAACAAAAGGAGCTGGTGAAAAGCCGAGGCAGGGAGCTCAGAGGAACGGACTTCAGCGTCAACGACCAATTTCCCAAAGAAATCCTGGATCGTCGCAGAAACCTGTTCCAACTCAGGAAAAAATTCATTGCGGAGGGAGCCCGAGCTGTCATCACAGTAGACAGACTGTATGTTAATGGACAACTGTTTCGCGACCAGAACACCACCGCTTGGCTCTACTGAAACCACTCCCGACTAAGGTAACACTCATTTAACAAACTAACTTTAAAGTTTGGCAGTTAGCGGTATTGACATTCAAAAATGTTTTTTCTGGAAGCAGTCTACCATATACTATACACCCACACATACACGTAGGCAGTCACACACTCGCACTCGCATACACAGACGCCCACTCAAACCTGCACACACCCCTTCATCTTAACATCGTACATGTATACAATCATACACTCACATATATACATACCCGCTCAAGCTCAGACAGATCTCCTCACCTTAATAGCACATATTGACTCTCGCACACACATGCATCCTGACACATTCACACGCATATACACACACACAGTCATTCACATACACACACATCCGTCCATTTTAACATTAGATTGTACTCAGGGGGCCTAAGTTAGGACAGCATGAACTCATTATGCTTTGTCACTTGGAACGTGCGTGGTATTGGCTTATTTGCTAAGAGACATAAAATCTTGTAGTATCTAACAACATTACAGGCAGATATTGTCCTACTGCAGGAAACTCACTTAGCCAGAACAGGACCGTGTACATTAAATTCAACAGAATTTTCACATGTATACTTAGCTAGTTATAATTCAAAACAGAGAGGTGTAGCAATTTTAATCAATAAAAGAATATGTTTCAACTGTAAAGACACTATCGCAGACCCACAAAGAGATATGTATTGCCAATATATACGGTCCAAATAGTGATGACGACTCCTTCTTCCACCACCTTTTTGCTGCAATATAATCGCACTCAGACACAGAACTTATACTGGGAGGGGACTTCAACTTAGTACTTAATCCAGAATCTGACAGACGTAGTACAGCAGCTAGTTACCGTACTTGCCAGTCATCCGAAACAGTAAAACAATATATGAATGATTTCGGCCTATGCGATGTCTGGCGTACTTTTCATGCCACGCTCAGAGAATACACGTTTTTCCTCGCCAGTCCATCATTCTTACTCTCGGATAGACTTCTTTCTTACCAGCAATACAGTCATGAAAGATATATGTGACACACAAATTCACCCTATAACAATCAGTGACCATGCACCTGTCACTGTAAAAGTTAGTGCACCACCTTTTAAACGTTGGAGACTGAATACATCATTACTAACAGACTCAGAGTTTCTAGAAGTTATTAAAAAAGATTGGACAACATTTATTGAAACAAATGACCTGCCAGGTGTCAGACGTCAGGAGCAGGCGAGCCGGGAAGCAGGCGAGTGGAGCCAAGAATACAGGTTAAGGGGGTTTATTTAAGGCAGTGTGGCGACGAGCACCAAACAGAACATGACATCACAGACAATACAATGACAGAACTGGGGAATACTGACTGAGACATGGACTAAATACTCAAGACTAGCCAGAAATAACAGGACACAGGTGATCACAATCAGGGATTAACATGAAGTAACGAGGTGGGCGTGGCACACACGAGGATCGGACGGAGCTGGTTGTGACAGAACCCCCCCCAAAGGCACGCACACCGGGCGCGCCCGAGGGGAGGCGACGGACGAGACGAGGGAACAGGACCAGGAAGACAAAATGCAAGACATTAACGGGGAACCGAAAACAGAACAAACACACAGAACAAGCAGAGAGCCAGAAACCAAGACAAAACCTGACAAAGGACGGGGAACGCGGACAGGCACACCAGAAAGGGCGAGACAGAGGGCACAGAGGGCACAGAGGGAACACCGAAAGGCGGAACAAAAGGGCCAGGAGTGAACGGAGGCACAACAGGAGGAGAAGGAGCAGGAACAGGAGGGACAAAGGGACGAGGAGCAGACCAGGGAGACCAGACAGGAAGGGACGGAGGACAAAGGGGAGCCCAATGGAAGGGACGGGAAGTGGCCGGAGGAGCCGCAGGCGAGAGGGAGGAGGGAGCAGGAGGGGACCACGCAAGGGCCCAGGGGACGGGCTGAGGGAGGGACGGAGGGAGCCGGAGGGAACACCGGCGTAGGCAGGCAGGAGAGGGAAGCCGCGGCAGGCGAAGGCAAAGCCGGAGCCAGGGAAGGCGCCGTCGGACGCCCAGCCGAAGCAGGGGGGCCCAGAGGCGGCCGACACGGAGCCGGAGGTGGGACCGAGGACCGGCACCGAGGCACCGGGGGGGGACCCGGAGGCGACCGGTGACCCAGAGCCGGAGGACCTGCAGGCAGCCACCGAGCGAC